AGATAGATAGATAGATAGATAGATAGATAGATAGATAGATAGATAGAGTGAGTCACTCAAAACATTTGTTTCAGCAACCAGTTATTTCATGTTATAGCAAGAAAAATTGGTTGTGAACAGAAAAATTTTGGAGACTCATGATCTAATAAAAATAACTTATGATCTGATAAGTCCTATTAAAAATCATGCCTGTATAAAGAAAGGTGGGACTGAATTTGAAATATATCACATTAAATCTTGCAGGAAGATTGTTTAAGTTAATTGAGAATTCTATCCATAACAACCTAGGACCCCTTCAAAGCAGATAAATTCATGGAAATGTATAGAACAGAAAGAAAAGAACCGTTTCTTGTTTGTTTCATTAGAATTCTTTGTGTATATAAAACAAGAGTCTCAAGTGAAGATTAAAATAAATTATGTCACAATCGTAATGGAAATGAATTTTTAGTACGGTTTGCTTCTTCAGGTTCATAGCAGGATGAATAGTAGCAGTAATTAAGTCTACTTAGGAATTATCATTTTCCAGAAAAAGGAGACTCGCTTTCTAAATTATATGCCTTTCTCTAAACTTTAAAATGATAACAAATTTACTGTGGCTGGATATGTAGTCTATAAGATCCCAAAGGTGTTTTTTTAAGAAGCAGCTGAACTTTCTTTGTTTTTCCTTGAAGACATTTCACTTCTCATCCAAGAAGCTTCTTCATTTCTGACTGAAGTTTCTTGGATGAGAGGTGAAAAGTCTTCAAGGAAAAACAAAGACAGTCCAGTTGTTTCTTGAAAAAAACATTTTTGGGACAACCATAACCAGAATGACTGAAAATCTATCTAGTCTATAAAATGTTTCCTACTTCTTTCTGGTACAATTATGTTTTATATGAGATCCTTCCTTAGATCATCCAGGAAGGACTAGTCTTTCATTTGTACTTACCTTTTAATGTTCCTTTCCAGCTCAATCATAACTTTTTCCAAGAATGACAACCAGAATTTAAAAAAAAATTCAAACACATTCAACCCTAGATTCATAGTTAATTAATATAATTAATTAAAATAATTAAGAGAATACACAAGAAAGTAAGAAAAATAAAAGTTTCAAAAACCAACAAATCAGGTGGTTATAATCTTCTATTATGTATTTAGTTTACACCCCACACACAAATTTTCAAATGCAAGATAGTCATTCTGATAATATATTAGGTGTGTTGCATGTCAGTATACCTTCTTCCCCATTTGCAGTATATAATTATGTACAAAAAAAGCAATTAACAATACATACCAGCTGGAGGTGTCTCATATCGTTCTGATGGTTCGCTGGGCTTACTTCTCCCAACTGCATTGACAGATATAACACGGAACTGGTAATTTACATAAGGGATCAGTGGTAAAACAACTGTAGTATCATTTCCCGGAAGCCTAATTAATTCCTGCCACTTTCTGGGCTCCCATCGGTTTTCTTCAAATTCCACAATGGATTCTAGGAAGGACAAGGAGTGGGGGAAACACAATAAAGAAAGCCTATGAATTAAAGAAGCAAACTACCCTGGAACCAGGTGGATGAGAATTGAAAAAAGATGATTAACAACAAAGACCTTCAACAACAAATTAATTCAGTGGTGCTTTCATTTAGGATATATGGTTAATTCAAGCCTAATTATTTACTGTCACTTTATAAAAGCCAGAGCTTGGCAGAAGAATTCTTCTTACCATTAATTGGGCTATTGTTAATACTTCCAGGACTCCAAGATAATCTAATATTTCTTGCCTGTTTTTCAGAGAGTTGGAGATCCCCTGGTGGGTCAGGGACATCTAAAAATAGGAAAGAAATGCAAGAATAACTTTTAACTACAGTATGCAATTTTGAACTCAGCAAACCATAATGATATTTATCAACAAAGTTCTGTACAACCCAGAAGGTTGCATTAAAGTTGAGAAATACCAAAATTAACTCCTGTTTCACAGGCCTGTAACTAGTGATCTTTAAGAATTAGAGGAAATTAGGGAATTGGAGTACAAGACCTCCAAGATTCCTTCCAGACCTCCTTTCATAGTCCTATAACTAGTTTATCATTAAGAAGCAGAAGAAATCAGGGTACCTAGAAGACCTCCAAGATCTTTTCGACCCCACGATTCAAAATAGCATGATCAGAGTTAGGTTTAGGCTTCATAAGTAGGAGGGCTTGTATTCCCAAGGAAGAAATGAATGTAAAGAGATAAAAGTCTAAAATACTTAGATTTACTTGATTGAAGCTATCTAAAAGTAGTTATATCTCAGCAGTCCTGTTTTGCTGATTCACTTTGTCCAGCAGGGGTTCTATTATGTACAGCTAACAAAAAATGGGGTCAACTTTGGGGTGAAACGGAGATTAGTCCAATGAAAGACAGAGAGTCTATATGCCTCACCAGTCAAGAAATTACCAATAAGTGGGGGTAGGATCAAGGCTTGCAAGGCTAAAAAAAGGAGCAGCAGAAGATTCAAAACAGATCAACTGGCTAGAAAGAATTCAATCCAGGAGCAAGTAGACACCAGTTAGAAAACCTCTAACATCCCCTATGTTGCTATGGTGGGGTGGGGATGGCATTTGGATCATCTAAATATATGCTATATCTTTAAAACTGATTGGTTAGCCTGTAATGTACAAAAGAAATGAATTGCTAGCTCTCAACAAGAGTCTCTACAAGAAAAAAGAACATTCATCCCACAAAGTTGAATAACTTGGGCTTATATGATGCTATCTGTCAAACTTTATGGATGTTGCTTCTTTGTTTCAAATACAAAAGCTGTTCTTTACTACCAGTGGTAAAGTAGTAAGGTTGTTCAAAATTACTGCCACTAGGTCCCTCTTTACTATCAGCTGAAGCCCCTGACCCTATGTTTGATTTAGAATAAACTTCAAAAGGGCTTGACAAGTTCATCTTAAGAATCTCAGAGAAGCTAGTTTCTCAAACTCAGAAGAAACTATGCTTTAAAACAGTAGCTACATCTTTTTTCAGAAGAAACCACATAAACCATCAAAAAATAAAAACACCAGACATCTTCAATCTGGTGTCCTTCAGTGTACTGTGAAGATTCAATTTGCTGAAGCCAAGTCAGCCTGGATCTAATAAATGCCTTGGATGGTGTAATAGCATGTTGGAATGACCTTGGAGGACAAAGGGAAGAGATGCTGCAAGAGAGGCAGGAACTCCCAATGGCTTAACCACCAGAGAAAGAAACTTAGAAAGGACCTGTCCTAGGGATAAAGCAGTAAAAAGTGATGGGCGAAGTCTGTAGTTTCAAATTTTCAAGATTCTGTTAATGTAACCTCACAATAAATTAGATTTAGCTCATTTAGTCATGTCTCTTTTCTGGTTTACCCTGGAGAGCTGACAGATGGGAACATTATGTGCACTGCCTTGAATTACATGACTAAAGAAATATAATTACATATAGGAACTGGCTAAAGAAATACAGTAAATTCAAAAATCAAAGTGTTTTAATATCTCTATTTATGTAATGCATGTAATCTTAACATCTTCATTACTTTTACATCCAGTCAAAAAAAGGAGTTTGGGGAAAATCTGAAGTTTATGTGAGAACTTAGGGAATTTCACGCTAATGCATCAAACTAATATTGTTATTGGGCCCAGTATTGGGAATTGAATCCATTAATTTTCAGAGATGCACTAAGAATAGGCTTCCCCTAAATCCAAAGGGATTTAAACTGGCAATATTAAATAGTTTGTGAACAGAAGAACAAAATTCACTTACCCAGGACAATTAGGCGGGAATCATCTGTGGCGCTATCAAGCAATGAAGTTCCTTCACAAGTGTACACCCCCTCATCTTCTGGGCCCACATTTTGTATAACCAATGTATCCTTTTTAATAATTATTCTGTAAGGGAAAATACAAATTGTACATCTATAAACCAGAACTACATATTTTAGATATGCAGGTTTTTGCTTGTGAAGCAGTCTTTCAAGAATCAGTACATCTTTCATCCAATTTGCATAATATATGTATGTATGTGTGTGTATATACATGTATGTATATGCAGAGTGAAAGTGGAAGATGGATAGGAGGAAGAAACTTAAGAGAGATATTACCATCATCACTTTCCAAGAGAATTTAAAAGCTTTGCAAAGTGGAATTTGTCAACTCATGTTAACATAGAAATAATACACTGTAATATAAAACTACAATATAGAACTAATTTTCTACCCCCATAGGTGAAGCAGGCCTCCAGTCTTCTGGCCTTTTAGAAATGTTTAAAAAACATGGCTCTTCCATGTTTGATCCTTGCCTATGGCTTACATCAAAGCAAGCAGCCTTGCGGCTGGCTAGCAACCTGAAAGCCATCTTCCTGCTTTTTAATTGGTTTTCACTGTGATTTTTAATTAATAGAATAGAGTATCTGAGTTAAAAGGGACCTTGGAGGTCTTCTAGTCCAATGCCATGCTCAAGCAGTACACCCGATATCATTCTGGACAAATTGCTGTCCAATCTCTTCTTTAAAATCTTCTGTGAAGGAACACCCACAATTTTTGGAGGCAAGTTGTTCCATTGGTTAATTGTTCTTATTTTTAGATTGGTTCTCCCCTTGATTAGTTTCTATTCATTGCTTCTTGCCCAACCTTCAGGCGTTTTATGGCAACGCCTTAGCTACTGCACCACTGATATCAAGCAGAACACAGCAAATTCCAAGACCAATAAACACAGACCAAGACTCCCAACCAATCAGGATGAAGAAAAAAACATTCTGGCACAGCGTAGGCTAGCACCAAATTTAAAACAGAAACGGCTGTGAAAGTCTGACTCACAGACGAACGCGATACAGAAGCCTGATGATGGCAGATGAGATTCTGCCGAAACGTTGCTACAACTTTAAAAGCACAACTATAATGACATGGGAAAATACCCGAACAAAGCTAAATACCATACATGTAAGTACCCGCGAAAACTTAAGAAAACACACACATACACACACACACACACACACACACATATATATTCTAAGTTTCAATACCTTTCTAGTCATCATATTTATATTTTTGTCTGTCCTGTTTCAATTTCATATTTTCTTTTCTCATTAAACAATATTTTCCCCTGTAGTTACTGATTGGAGTATGACACCTTTGTATCTTTTAATTTTTGTCCATTCAACTCTTATTTAAACTTCAATTTATGCCTTTACAATTATAACATTCAATATAACACATAACTTCCAGTCAAATTCTGCTTGGTACATTCTTAAAATACACACTAAGTTCTTAAAGAGAATATATATATATAACAATAATAAATAATATACTTATTCTATTCCAATTCAGCTCTATCATTAATGTTAGTTATAATCTTTGACATCTTTAACATTCCTTTTCAACAGGATATCATACTTCTAGGAAAACATATAATATTTCCATAACTTTTTCATGTTCCTTTCATATTCCTCTTCACTTAAATTTTTATAACACATTTATAATAATTAAAATGTTCCCCTCCTTTCCTAATTTCATTCTCTCATTCTCTTTATTTCATTTATTTATTAAACATTCCATTACATTACAATGAGTATTTTATCTATCATTTTAATCACACTTGTTTCATATTTTCAAAGTTCATTTCTATTTCTAATATAACAATACTATCTTATGTACCCTTGCAGAATCCCCCTTTTGATTAAGTTTTCACCCATTATCTCTGTGTCTTGTATGTTTTCCCTGTTTCTCTATGTCCTGGTTCTGTCCTATGTAATTTCTTTTCCTTTCCCTCTTCTCCCTTTATTTCTCCCTTCCCTTTTGACCCCTTCTCTCTCTAATTCTGATTCTCTCTCTGTAATCCTCTCTTCTGTTTCTTCCTAATGTTATAATTACTTTTCAAACTATTCTTTTTGGGGGTTGTTTTTTCCGATCTTAAATTTTTCACTCTCTTCCCCCCCTTTCCTTTCTTTTCACCACATAGAAATACTTAGTCATTGAAGATGGCTTCTTCTTTGTCCCGCCCTTTTTGTTCTACAGGCATTTCTTGTTGTTTCTCATAGTTCAGGATCTCCATTTTTAAAAACTGAAATACGAAGCCAAAAGAACCTCTTCCTTCTTGTGCATCTTCTTTCTGTTTTTAAAGTTCTATTCTCAATTCTTCCAAGAGTGATACCATTTTAAAAACTTTTAAACAATCACCCGATTAATTTTAGTCCTTTAGATCCAATAGCCAAAAATCCAAAAATCACCAAGTAATCCAAATAATCCAAAGCTGTTTCTTCTTGCTTCTTTTTTCCACTTTCTCTTCCTGGGGTTCACTTATCTTGTTACAAAGTTTCAGTTAAAATATATCTTTTAGCAATCTTGTTAAAGTTTCATTGTTAATTCCTTTCACTTCCAGATGGTCTCCTCCCTTTTTCCAGATTCCACCCTTTTGTTTTTTTCCTTCTTTTAAAAGTTTTTGAAAATCCAGAAATCTTTATTATCCCTTTGACATTTTATTTTCAGCTTAAATACCTGTTACTGTCAAAGTGGATTTTTGCTGATTCCTTGCTTAAATTTCTTAGTTGTCAATATAGGGAAGAAAAGAAAAAAAAACAAATCCTTTCCCTTCTCAGCTTCAAAGTCTTTTTGGGGAATAATGTTGTTCTTTATAATTCAAATTCCAGGGTACCTTGTATTGTTGTTTTTTCAGTTTGACCCAGTCAGCCAAAAACTTTCTCTTCTTACCTTCCTTCTGCACATTCTTTTCCGGTCAAGTTCTTCTTTGAGGGGGCCATTTCTGACCACCACTGTGATCTCCTTCAGGAAAGGGAGTAATGGCCAGCTGAGGAGGAGAGATGCGGCTCTCCTTGACCCTGCTGGCAGTCTCCCCCCTCTTCACTACCTCTACGGGGTGGCTTAGCCCCAAAACCAGCTGGCTTGGGGCGTTCCAGCAGCGAGTACAGATCAAAACTGCACACAATCGCAGATTTCGGTCTGTCGCCGAAGAAGCTTAAACCGGATCTCTAGACATATTCAATTTCTTCAACTAGTCCCAAAGGTGCTTTTTCAAGAGGCAACTGGTTTTTCTTTGAAGACATTTCACTTGTCATCCAAGAAGCTGCTGAAGAAGCTGAAGAAGCTTTTTGGATGAGAAGTGAATCATCTTTAAAGAAAAACCAGAAAATCCAGTTGTCTCTTGAAAAAGCATCTTTGGGACAACCATGATCTGGATGACTGAGAATCTCCATAGACATTCCTCCAACTAGTTTTTTTATCCTCCAGTCTCTAATCATCTTTGTTGCTCTTCTCTGCATTTTTTCTAGAGTCTCAGCATCTTTTTTGTATCAGGGTGACTCAAACTGTGTGAAGTATTCATCATTGTCTTTTTAAATTTCAAATTTTATATACTGTTTTGATGTTTTAATATTTTATCTGTACCCCATTCATAGAAACTGAAAATAATTAACATGGTTTAAAAGGCCCACCCAGTCTGCTATGCAACCAGATCCAAGATCCTGACCCAGCCTTCTTTGGGTCAATTCAGTGGTTAGTTCCCCCCCCCCCCCCCACAGTCTCTAATAACCTAACATGGAGAAAAATTAAAACTGCCTTTTTTCTCCATCAAAGTAGTCTAATGAAAGGAGAAATACATTTTTTTGCATTGTGCTGCTGTAATTAAATTGAAGAAAGGCTGTATATGCAAGCAGGAATACACTAAAATTCACATTCAGTACTGGCAAAAAATAAACGGAATCTTTCACTTTCCATACAAATATATTCAGTTTTCTAAATCACCATATAAATGACTCCTGAATATTGTAAATATCAGCATTTTAAAAGTCAAATGTCAGATATACATGTCAATACTGGAATGATTCTGTGATGGTTTCAAACATACAAGACATGCAATCTCGTACATTATTTTCACAAAAGTATATGCTTTTATATGTGATGTGCTACACAAAACAGTTATAAAATTTGAGTAGAATCGCCTTTTTAAAACAATTTTGATGGAGAACTTGCATAGAATTATTTTTATTTCAGGGAACACAAATGGCTTCCAATTGAGAATCTTTAAAAAAAATCTTTAAATAATTTTTCAAAGCTAATGTTTAATATATATATATATAATTTAATTTAATTTCTTGATAATCAAGATATGTAGCTTTTAAACTTTTCAATTTTCCCAAATTCCAAATTTCCACTTTGATATATGAATTCTAATATGTCACCACTAGAGGTCGTTCTAGGATCACAAAGGAACTCCTATTCTATTCCAGAACTAAAAGTTACTTTAAAGTATTACCAAAGTGAGGGGAAGGGATTAATGGTATATTCCAGGTCTTCCATTATTATCACTATATCTAATCTTCATGCTGAAGGGAAAATATTTTTATTTTTCCTCATTAAAAATCGAGTGTTTCTTATTCTTATTACATTCTCTGTTAGATCTGAAATAAATTAAAGCTCTTTTGAAGTACATATTTTATTGTATAATACTTTACAATGTTATATCTCTCATATTATTTTTACACCAACATCTTTGAACTTCATTATGTATTTGATATTTTCTAATGAGACCAAGTGAACATTATCCTTCTATTAGCGATGTTATCAGCAAATAAGACATCAATATATTTGCTTTTAATTATATATCTTTCTAAAAATGAAAGTGACTCACTATTGGGCACTGCCCATAAGATACAATATTATTTCTGTAAAATGCAAATTGGTTATATAAAAAGAAAAGAATAAAGACAAAGCATTCTCTTGTTACCTTCCATCTTCAGTGTCATTCATCTCCAATTCCTCTCCATTCTTTTTCCAAGAAATTTTAAACTGGTGTTTCAAATGTGGGTCACATTCAGAATGACATTTCAATAAAACTGAATGTGATTTCAAAACTTGTGGATTCTTCGGTATAATTGAAATTTTGGTAGCATCTAAGAAAGTGATTTAAAAAATGCATGACAGTATCATTTTGTTGTAAAATTACGTTTCAATGGCAAAATGTATAGCAAGTTCTTTTGAAATTTGATTTACAAATTTTGTCTTCTTTTTATCTATAAATAAGGAGTATTTATTGGAATTTACAGAATACAAAATATTATATTTATAATGATCTATTATTCCTGTTTTTCATGTGAGAGAAATGTATGTACATACCAGGGGTGGGATCTGACAGGGTTAATTACCGGTTCGATGATTTATGAGGTTCAGTGATTTACAATGTGCTTTCCTGCATGCTGCATGGGCGTGCCTGTAAATCGTCATCAGCATGCTGCATGCAGAGAAGCAGCCTTTGAAAAAGCCCTTTTTTCCTGCTTTTTTAACTGCAGCTATGCCTCGCACAGCAGCTGAAGTTGAAAAAGCAGGAAATAAAGGTCAGAGCCCGGGTGGGCAAAAACATCAGCAGACATAGAATTGGTTCTATGTCTGCAGCTCTTCAGAGCTACCGGTTCTACAGAGGTGGACAGAACCCGTGGTACATACCCATAAAATATATGTGGTTAAAAGTATTTTGCTTTACCAAAATACAAATTGTGCATCTAACAAAATATTATTGGAGAACAGTACATGCATTTCAAAATGCTTTTAGCATTGACACTTCCACATGGTAAGCTATGCACAAAAATTAATCATCTTCATCATTATCACCATTGATATACAAAGGGCACAACTGGTTTAAAAATTAAAATGATGACAAAGAGTTATAAATAAAGAACAAGTTGTAACTCCATTCAACTTCAGCAAAACTATTTATCGCCTCTACTTTTTACCAGGGTACCTAAGGTGTTCCTTACAGTTATGATTCCTGGCCATCTTAATCATTTGAGACAGATGTGTAGATCAATAAAGAAGAATGTTTGTAGCTCAGGGTTGAAATGAGGAGTCCTTGGTGGTCTCTGAGCTTTCTTGTTTTCTTGCAGATGTTTCATTACCCAAACTAAGTAACATCAACAGTGGCACTAGCACTGATGATGTTACCTAATTTGGGTAATGAAAAGTCTGCAAGAAAACAAGCAAGCTCAAGAGAGATGCGTAAATGGCAAAAAGCAATTCTTCTCCTTGCCCTTACAGCCAAGTGTAAGTGTTTTATTGCATGCAATAAAATTAACTGACTGTTTAACTATTGTTTATGTTCATATTTATATCACCTCTGACAGTGAGAGTGGCAGTGATGGCACGCTTCCCAACAGAATTTTTCACCAGGCAGGTATAAAATCCAGCATCTTCCTTCCTTGTTTCTCTAATCTCCAGGGTTCCATTTTGATCCACTTCAAGAAGTTGCATGCTGTCATCTTTAGTCCTAGCAAGGAATTTGCAATCAGATGTATGCATTTATTACTTATTTATAAACATAATTTTTAAATTTTCCTTTAACAGAAAATCATCTGAGAGAGAGAAAAATCCTGGAACAAGCCATGTTGGAATCACAGCCAAGTATTGAAAAATAATTCAGTGGCACTAACCCAGAAGCAGTAAGACCGATTTCCAAAATCAAAAGTGTAGTATCTTTTTCAAACTGTTTTATAGAAAAGTTATTTTCAGTCCTGTTGTTAGTGGCTAGAGGGAAGTAATAGCAAACTAGTTTTAATTTGACAGCTGAAGGAAAAACCAGCAAAACAAATAAGAATACACTTTCCTTAAGAGACCCACATTTTGTGCCATTCTAAAGAGGGATGGAGGGAAACCCAGGTAGAAGATATGAGCCCTTTTCTTTATATGGCACATTGCTATCTTTCCTTTGCTCTCAAAGTGAAATAAAGTTAGGGATGCTTTTTTCCAAACTTGAATAGAGGAGGTAAACCTGCCACTCCGAGAAAATGAAGATTATTTAAATCTGATAGATTCGATGTAGATTCAGGCCACCCCCATTTTAAGGCCTATTATAATTGCCAGTGAAAACTTCGACGGTCATGATCTGCACCCATAGATCAGTCTGATAGAAGAGAATAAAGACTCCAAAGATCAGTCTATGCACAGAACTCCATTCTGTTTGCAGAGATAGCTCTGCTTTATCTTGATCTCCATTAAGCCATTGCAGATAGGGCTTGGACTGGTTTGGGCAAAACCCAACAGCACCCTTTCATGTGGTTGTTGATAAAAATAGGATCACCAACATGATTGCCAATGTCCAATGATGGATATGGAAGAAGGAGGAGGAAGAGGGGGGAAGAGGAGGAGGAAGAGGAAGATAGGGCTTGTTCTCTTAGTCTTCTTCTTGAACATTATAGAAAGCAGTTTTAATTTATGACAAGCTATACAACAAATCACAAAGGAAGACTCAAGGACTGGAGACAGGTATTTGTTTTTTTGGCAGAATAGAGATGTCTACCTCCTTTCCCTTTGATCTCCACAAGTTTTTGTAGGACTGAAAAAGGAAGGTGTGAATTTATTTATGTAGCCACCCATCTTATATGGCACATCTCTGTATGGCTAATACCAAACAATAAAACCAAACAGTTTAAAAAAACAACACAAAACACAAACACTAGCAGGCACCTCCCCAGTGCCCCAAATACAACATATCCCATGTATCTAAACAAACTGTAGAGCTTTTTCCATGACTTGTGGGAAAGGTCAGATCTTTAAAGCTTTTTGGAAGGCTCAGAAGGTAGAGGCTTACTGGATCTCAGAGAGGAGGTAGGGAAGCTTTAGAAAAGGCATGCTTCTAGGTTCTGATAGAAGAAACACTTAAAGAAATGACTTGCAGTTTGTCCATTCTGTGACATCTAGGGGAGCAGGTAGATACCCTCAAGCAGGGATTTCCAACCTTTTGGACCTCAGGGACCACCAAACTCATAATTTTAAATCCCGGGAACCACTAATATGAATTTTGCCTGATGGTGGCTTGCTGACATTGGTGGGAGAGAGAGAGATCTGATCTAACCTTTCTTTCTCCCTCTCCCTCCCTCCCTCCCTCCCTCTCTCTCTCTCTCACACACACACACACACAGAAACACACAGAGGCAGGGGTGGTATTCAAATTTCTTAACAACTGGTTATTAGGTGGGGCCTAATTTGTGACTGGCTGGGCATGGCTTGTATGTAAATATTATAAATAATTATGTAAATATTGAATTTTTTTATAAAAAAATCAACTATTACCCAAAATCAGGCAAAGCAGGCAGGCAGATTGAGTTGCTCACA